AGCTCTCCCCAAATCATTTTACGAAGCCAACATCACATTGATACCCAAGCCAGGTAAAGATCCAACAAAGAAAGAGAACAACAGGTCAATATCTTTGATGAACATAGATGCTAAAATTCTCAACAAGACCCTAGCAAACCAGATTCAACAATACATCTCAAAAATAATCCATCATGACCAAGTAGGCGTCATCCCTGGGATGCAAGGCTGCTTCAACATTCATAAAACCATAAATGTAATTAAATACATCAACAGATGTCAAAACAAAACCACATGATTATATCATTAGATGCTGAAAAAGCTTTTGATAAAATCCAGCACCCCTTCTTGATAAAAACACTCGAACATCTGGCATACGGGGAACATACTTCAAAATAGTAAAAGCCATCTACAAGAAACCCACAGCCAGCATACTCCTAAATGGACAGAAATTGGAACCATTTCCCCTGAAAACTGGAACAAGACAAGGATGCCCACTCTCACCCCTCCTGTTCAACATAGCATTGGAAGTTCTGGCTCAAGCAATCAGAGAAGAGAAGGCAATCAGGGGTATCCAAATAGGAAAAGAGGAAGTCAAGTTATCTCTCTTTACAGATGATATGATTGTGTACCTTGAAAACCCAAGAGAATCTGTCAAAAACCTCCTTACACTAATAAAGGCCTTTGGCAAAGTCTCAGGATAAAAAATAAATGTACAAAAGATAATCGCATTTCTTTACACCAATAATAAACAAACAGAAACCCAAATAAAAAGCACAATTCCGTTCACAATAGCCACAAAAAAAATGAAATACCTTGGCATCTTCCTAACCAGAGACGTGACAGACCTTTACAATGAAAACTACAAAACACTGCTCAAAGAAATCAAAGATGACATGAACAAGTGGAAAAATATGCCATGCTCATGCACTGGAAGAATCAACATTGTGAAGATGTCCATCTTACCTATGGCAATCTACAGATTTAATGCAATACCCATCAAATTACCAGCAACATTCATCTCAGACCTAGAAAAAACAACACAGGAATTCATATGGAAACACAAACGTCCAAGAATAGCCAGAACAATCCTCAGCAAAAAAAACAAAGCAGGTGGTATCACATTACCCAACTTCAAACTTTACTATAAAGCTACAATCATCAAAACAGCTTGGTATTGGTTTAGGAACAGGCAAATAGATCAATGGAATAGAATTGAGATTCCAGAAGCAAAACCTCAACTTCTCAACCAACTTATCTTTGACAAAGCCTCCACCACCTACCACTGGGGAGAGGAGAACCTATTCAGTAAATGGTGCTGGGAAAACTGGCTGACCACATGCAGAAGATTGAAACAGGACCCCTATCTATCCCCATGCACAAAGGTTAACTCCAAATGGATCAGAGACCTAAATGTAAAACCTCAAACCATAAGAACCTTAGAAAATGAAGAACATACCCTCATGGAAATCGGAACTGGCATCCAATTCCTGAACAAAACTCGAAACCCACAGGTCATAAGAGCGAAGATAGACAAGTGGGACCTTATTAAACTGACAAGCTTCTGCAAGGCCAAAGAAACCATCAAGAGAGCAGGGAGACAGCCTACAGACTGGGAAAAAGTATTTGCCAACATCAGGTCTGACAAAGGCTTAACATCTTGGATCTACAAGGAACTCAAACATGCTGAAAAGAAAAAAACAAACAACCCCATTATAAAATGGGCAAAAGATATGAGCAGACACTTCACAAAGGAAGACATCCGAGCAGCCAACAGACACATGAAGAAATGTTCAACCTCACTAATCATCAGGGAGATGCAAATCAAAACCACGCTGAGATACCACCTAACTCCAGTCAGAATGGCAATTATCAACAACTCAAAAAATAGCAGCTGCTGGAGAGGGTGTGGCAAAAAGGGAACACTTCTACACTGTTGGTGGGAGTGTAAACTAGTGCAACATCTGTGGAAAGCAGTGTGGCGATTCCTAAAACCTCTAAATATCAACCTCCCATATGACCCTGCAATCCTCCTACTGGGAATATATCCTAAAGAACTCAAATCACTCTATAAATAAGATACCCGATCTGGCTGTGCAGTCCTTCATGGTTCGAAATGTGCTCCCATTTTTTCCACTAGGAATCCTGTTCTCTCAGTGCCCCGACTCCTGCCACGGGATTTAAAATGGAGCGAGTCCTCCCTGCCCCACCCCGGGGCATTGGGAGGATTGAATGATGTAATTTAGGAGAGAGCATTGTTTAAAGTGTGCGGGGGCCCGCCCCGCAAGGGTCATGGGAAGTGATGAAGGAGAGACGACGGACGAAGATCATATCCAGGGACACCTGCTTCTTGAACAGATGACAATTTAATGCTAGTTAATACAGAGCTTTTATACCATTTTTGAAGGGGCAAGACAAAGAAAACTCTTTCACATTCATATCTTTTAAAAGTTACCAGCTAGTGGTCTTAGTAGCGAACAAACCAAGATTCCCATAGGTCTTAGTAGCAAACAAACCAAGATTCCCATAGGCTTCCAGACAACGTCTTATTCATAAAGCCAACAATGACACTCTCAGTCCAATGTCCCAAATTACAAATGTTTCAAGAAAGTTTCTTTAAGTGTCTATTTCTTTATGTGTTAGGAATATTCTCATTTTAGGCTCTTATGTTTTTCAGAGTCCTGTGATCGCCTTCCTTGTCCAGATGTCCTCGTTACTTTTCTCTTATCTTGCAGTGCTTGTTTCTAAAGATAACTCAAAAGAAACTTTTAGTAATGTTTCCTAGACCCCTCAAGGTTGCTTTCTGTTTTAGTTGATCTTGTCATAAAAGTGTCTGATTATTATATTATGAGTTTAGTGAAAACCTACTCTATAAATGTTAACTTAGAATTTTAACTATAGTATTAAGTAAAAACCTTAACATAATCTTTGTCTTAAGTTAGTGAAAACAGTGTGATAAATCACCTACAAACTTCTAGATAAGTGTTAGAACTTATAATGAATTTATAATGAACTTACTATAAACTTGTGTTTCTAAAAAACCTTATGTCTAAACACTAAACTGCATAATCCTAAATCAAATAAGGAGTGAATATACTTATATTATTTATTACTTCAGCAATATCTAGTAACTTATAACCAAGTGAAAGAAAGCATTCTTGATGTGCTTCAGAGTTTAACCCTTGCATATGTTAGAAAAGGCCAAGTGGCATAGTGGGAAAAATGAAAAATAAACCATGATATTTCCAAGTTAGCTGTGAGTACTTCACATAAACATGCCATTTTCTTCTTCCACAACTGCACAGAATTCTTCGGCGGTATCAAACAGCAAAGGTGAAAGACAGAAGGGCCTCAGTTTTCTGGGCTCGCCCTGTGGCCCGGGGTCTTCGGCCCACCCGGATCCTGTCAATCAGGTGGGCCTCCAAGGCTGGCTCCCAACAAAAGTGTTTTATCAGCGTATGATGGATGATATTGCTGCTGTTAGGCAGCAGGGCGTAGGTTTGAACCCTAGCTTTTCCTCCGCTGGGGCTCGGGGAAGTTGAACTTTTTTGTGCCTCTCTGAGCTTACTTTCAAATGGAGATGCCAACAGTACCTGCCTCATAGAGTGGTTTTGAGGAAGCTTAGTGCAAGCATTTGGAACGCTGTCAGACATAGTCTTTGCATTGCAGCTGTAATTAAAGAATGCCATCTCGTCACACTGTTACTGAAGAGCCAAACCTTAGATGCAGAAGCAGATGTGTTATGTGCAGTCCTTTACAGCAATCACAACAGAATCAGCCACCGCAAACCCCATTTGGCCCTCAGACAGGTTGAACAATGTTTAAAACGTTTGAGAAACATGAATTTGGTGGGTTCAATTCAAGACCTGTCTGAGTTGTTTACTTCCAATGAAAATCATCCTGTAACTCCCAAAGCGTGTGTCATCCCCAGTTAATCAGTAGTGGAGTTGGTGTTGATGAAGGTTTTGGGAGCCTGCAAGTTGTTACTCCGCTTGTTGGACTGCTGCTGCAAGGCGTTTCTCTTGACTGTGAAACATCTAGGTTTACAAGAGTTCATTATTTTAAACCTTGTGATGGTTGGGCTGGTGAGCAGGTTATGGGTCCTCTATAAAGATGTTTTTAAAAGGCTGATGTCTTTATATGAGCCATTGTTTGGATTGCTTCAAGAGGTCTCTAAGATTCAACCAATACCTTACTTCAAAGATTTTACCTTTCCTTCTGATATTGCTGAATTTCTAGGACAGCCCTATTTTGAAGTCTTTAAGGAGAAGAGGCCTACAGCTTTTGCAGATAAAGGAGTAACTAAATTGCTAAATAAATTGTTTTTAACAAATGAGCAATCACCAGGATCCAGTGAAGAAACCCTACTTGGAATTTCCAAAAAAGCTAAACAAATGAAGATTAGTATACAGAATAATGTGGATCTTGGACAGCCAGTAAAGAATAAGAAAGTCTTCAAAGAAAAGTCATCAGAATTTGATTTGAGGTCTTTCTGCAATCAGCCGAAACACAAAGTTTCTCAGAAGACCAGCTGTGATTTTAAATGTTCTCAATCCAGACTAAAGATAATCAAAAATTCTTCTCAGAAAGTCATAGGAACTTCTCATTCCAAAAGTTTGGTGCAAAGATCCCGAGAGGCTGAGTCCTTCATACAGCTTTCTGAAGAAATCCAAATGGCAATTGTATGGTGCAGGAGAAACAAATTCAAGGCTCAGTCCACCTTTCTGGGTAACAAACTTCTTAAAAGTAACCGGTTTAAGCATGTGAAAGCTCAAGGTCATAGTTTACCAAAGAAGCTAGAGTGCATAAAATCATCTGTGTGCAACTGCCTTCTTCGTGGCTCAGGTATCAAAACTTCAAAGCATCATCTGAGACAAAGAAGATCACCGAATACATTTTTACTGAGACAAAGGAAACCACAGAGAAAGTTGCAGTCGACTCTCTTAAAGGAAATTCAGCAGTTTCCTCTAGGGACTCAGAAGAATGCTGCAGATGCCAGTGCTAAGTGGAGACTCACACACTGTACAGGTCATAGAACTGACTTCTACCTTAACAGTGAGCAACCCAGAGTTTCTAGTTCTGTCACACAAACTACAGAGAAACAGATGCATGAAAATCTTACAGGAAGCAGTGAAAATGAAACTGATTCAAGGACAGTGATGCAAACAAACACACACAGAACATCAGGAACCATTAAGGAGACAGATGACATTGATGATATCTTTGTGTTAATGAGAGTTTAGATGTTAATATGTGAGACTTCTAGGGGATTTACTTTTTTAAGTGGAAGTCCTGAGATCTGGAAGTACTACCTGGACTCAGAGGAGCTATTTTAGTGCAGCATCGCACAGGAGTTCATTTCAGTTCAGTAAACATTTATAGGAGGTTTGTGCCATTTAATCAACAAGTATTTTTTTGGCTTCAACTACATGTGAGACAGTGAGATGAAAATCTGCTACAGCCTACCCCTGAGAAGCAGTTATAATTCCTTGACTGATGCTCATAGGACCCTGAAAAATGGAATAATTTTATGATGTACCAGGGACTTGATACCTGAATTAAGTCCCTTAAGGTAAATAAGGAGTGAGGGTGGGGAATAGCAAGGAAGCACCTGAAAGCTCACTTTGACCTTATTGGCTCCATCATAGATAAATCCACCTCTGAATACTAAAGTTTGTAGCTTCTGACAGTTGTATTGTTTACATACTAGGATTGATCATCAAGTTTTGCCATTGATGATATTACCAGGGACCGGTCACAACCATTATTTCTCTTCATTTTTTCACCTTACCTCTTAGGAGGCCATATTAAATGCTTTTGGAGTTTGCTTAAAAAAAAAAAAGATACCTGCACACGTATGTTTATCACAGCATTGTTCACAATAGCAAGAACCTGGAAGCAACCATGCTGCTCATCAAAAGAGGACTGGATTTTAAAAATGTGGTACATATACATGATGGAACACTACACAGCCATAAAAAAGAACAAAATCATGAATTTCGCAGCAACCTGGATGGAACTAGAGTCTATAATACTGAGTGACCTCTCACAGAAACAAAGATCCGAGTATCACATGTTCTCACTCATATAATGGACCTTGAACATCCAATGTAATACTATAATAAAATGACTGACAGTAGTGGGAAACTATGGGGGGGGGAGATGGGATTAACGGTAGCAAATATCTGTCTGGGGACGGGGAAACACCTTATCAACAGGGTGCCTGAATGAAACATATTTGTATACCTTACCCTTAACTATACCCCACAACATCATAATAAAAAATATTGATTAAAAAAGAAAAAAAAAAAAAACAATGACAACCACACTCTGTGACTAAAACACTTAATAAACAAAGAAGTAAATTAAGGCAGCAGGATTATAAATTGGTGGAGAAGAGGAAAGTCTCCAGTATTTTTATGCACATAAAGTTAAGCTGCCATCACTGAAAATATTGTATTGCAACTATAAGACTTATAATGTTAGCTTCATGGTAATCACAAAGAAAGATATTATAGCAGACACAAGAATGGGAAAGAGACAAGAAATAAAGCATAGCACACAGAAAACGACCCAACAAACAAAGGTAAATGAAAGGAAGTGAAAAAAAGTATCTATAAAACAACCAGTAAAAAAGTCACAAAATGGCATAAGTAAGTGCTTATCTACCCATAACATCCTCAATGTAAGTAGATCAAATTCTTCAATTAAAAATATAGAGTGGCTGAATGGATTTTTAAAAACTCAACTGTATATTGCCTATAAGACAACTGTATATTGTCTTCACCACTGAAGACAAACATAGACTTTAAGTGAAGGTGTGAAAAACAATATTCCATGCAAATGAAAACCAAAAAAAGAGGAGTACCTATACTTATAGTACACAAAATAGACTACTAAAGACTGTAAAAAGAGACAAGAAGGGTCATTTTATAATTATTAAGAAATAAATTCAAGAAGAAATAACAACTGTAAATGTATACCCAACAGAAGATCTTGCAAAGCAAATATCATTAGACCAAATGGGAAAGATAGACTACAATAAAATAATAATACTGGACTTTGACACCACACTTTTAACAATGGACAGATTATCTAGACCAGAACTCAACAAGACTAAAGGGAGCAAGTAGACATTTACTGAACATTTTATCCATTAGCTGCAGAATATATGTTCTCAATTTCACATGGAACATTCTCCAGAACAAATCACATATTAGACCACAAAACAAATCTAAGAAGACAGAGATCATATCATGTATTATTTTTTACCACAATGGTATTAAACTAGAAATCAACAAGAAAAACTTGGGAAACTTAATATATTCATGGAAGTTAAACAACATGCTTCTAAACAATCCTAATCCTAATCCTAAACAATCATAATCCTAAACAATCAATAAGAAAATTAAAAGGGAAATTAAAAATGTACTTGAGACAAACAAGAATAGCAACACATAATACTAAAAACTATGGGACACAGAAAAAAAACAATTCTATGAGAGAAATTTATAGCAATAAATGCCTTCATCAAAAAAATCAATTTATAATAAGCAACCTAATGCATGTCAAGGAAATAGTAAAACAAAAACAAACTAATCCCAAAGTTGGTAAAAGGAAAAAAATAGTAAAGCTCACAGAAAAAGATAAACAAAATAGAGAGTAAAAAGATCAACAAAACAAAAAGTTGGTATCTTTAAAATTCAAATAAAATCAACAAGTCTTTACTTAAACTAAGAAAACAAGGGAAAACCAGTCCAAATAAATGAAATCAGAGAGAAAAAGAAGACACTACAATTGATACTACAGAAATACAAAAAACCATAGGAGACAATAAACAAATATACTTAAAGAAATTTTGTAATATGAATTACATTGATAAATTCCTGGACACACAAAATCTATCAAGATTAATTTATGAAGAAATAAAAAATCTGAATAGACCAATAACAAGTGAGAAAATTGAATCAGTAATAAAAAGGTTTTCGTCAAAAACAGCATAGGACCTCCTGGCTTCACTGCTGAATTCCACCAAACATTTTTAAAAGATGTAATACCAATTATCCTCAAACTATTTTAGAAAATCAAAGAGAAGGAGATACTTCCTAACTCACTTCACAAGTCTAGCATTAGTGTCATTCCAGAACCAGACAAGGACACAAGAGAAAAAGGAAAACTATAGACTAATATTTTTGATGAACATAAATGCAAAAATTCTTTAAAAGATACTTCATTTTTCTTCTTTCCTGACACACATACGTAGTTTAGTGTTCTTCCCAAAATAATTTAACATCTTTAACACTCCATATCAAGTGGTGTACCAAATAGGGTGTGTGGTCATGTGCATAAGGAATGAAACAAAATGCCTTTAGATTGCTCACGGCTCACTATTGGCTCTCCCAGTTGGATAATACCATCTGAGATGGTTTATCACTTACTGAAAAATGTCTGTGCTGCTGTGCACTCACTGTCTGTTGACCCTGTCAAGTGTGACCATGGCTTCCTACCCCAAATTGTGGCTCTGGAATAATTATGTCCTCCCTAAAATCCACAAATTGTCAGTTCTGGCACAGCAAGAGGGGCATCCGTGGTCATTGTCACTATCACAAATAAATGGGAAATATTGGTGGGGTCAAATGGCTAAACTGTTGTTTTTTAACCTCTTTCTTTGGCTAACTGTATGGTTTTTCATAATCCACATTCAATGCACACTTAAAAGATTTTTCATTATTATCACATGGGATTCAACTCAGGGATGTGCAGATGGTGTATTATACACAAGTCAATAAATGTGATACACGACTTGAACAGAAAGACAAAAATATGGCCATTTCAACAGATGTAGAGAGAATATGTGACAATATTAAACACGGCTTCATAATAAGAACACTCAAGAAATTAGATATAGAAGGCTTGTACTTCAACACAGTAAAAGTCTTATATGACAAACTCACAGCTAACTTCATACTGAATGGAGAAAATCTGAATGCTTTTCCTCTAAAGTCAGGAACTAAACAAGAATGCTCAATTTCACTACTTCTATTCAACATAGTACTGGAAGTTTTAGCTGGAGCAATGAGGCATAAGAAAGAAATAACACTGCCCTCCAGGTTGGGTGACAGAGTGAGAAACCAACTCAAAAATAGATAGATAGATAGATAGATAGATAGATAGATAGATAGATAGATAGATAGATAAAAGGCATCCAAATTGAAAAGAAGGAAATCAAATTACTCTTTGCAGAATACATGATCATATATATATTTTTTAAAAATTTTAAAGACTCCACCAAAAAACTATTAGAACTAATAAATAAATTCAATAAAGTGCATGGAATGAAAGAAGTTATTACTCCCAGGTCCCAAGAGGTTAGGGATACTGATAGGAAGTTCAGAGACAGTAGAGTGGTCAACTAGCAGTCAGAAAGCCAGAGAGAGAGACAGAAGACCTATGGGACTATGTCTTTATTAGGGCCCATGAGCATTATCTCTAAGGACTTCCTGGAGGGGCTGTGAATTTGTCAATATAAAGAAAACATACACAAATGGGAAACATCCATATGACTCTGCTGTTGACCATTAGGTTTTATCATGATTGACCCCTCTGAGTTATTTTGGGTTTGGATCAGTGAGATAAGAAACTTGCAAGTTATGAACCAAACAACTATGTGGGAAGGGGAAATTTTAAATAGTCCAAAAATGACAGAGCATGACTGGGTTACAAACAACTATATCAGGCTTAAAATGGATGCTGAGGCAGTAAATATATTAAACAAATTTATGACATTTAGGTCATATATTAGTTTTAGTTTTACTTATTTGAGAAATCTCCATATTGTCTTCCATAATGACTGCACTAATTTACATTTCCCCCAACATTGCACAAGGGTTTCCTTTTTTCCCACATCTTCTTCAACACTTGTTATATTTGTTATAGTCTGTTTATATTTGTTACATTTTGGAAATAGCCATCCTATTAAGTCTGAGGTGATATCTCATCATGGTTTTTATTTGCATTGCCCTGATAATTAGTGATGTTGAGCACTTTTTCTTGCTGCCTATTGTACATCTGTATGTCTTATTTGAAAATATGCTAGTCAATTCCTTAGCCCATTTTTAATTGTGTTATGTGGGGGGGTTTTTGCTACTGAGTTGTATGAGTTTCTTATGTATTTTTAATATTAACTCACTATCAAATATATGGTTTGCAAGTATTTTTTCCAAAACCGTCAGTTGCCTTTTCATTTTGTTGATAGTTTTCTTTGCTGTCTAGAAGCTTTTTATTATTATGTAGTTCTACTTGTTTAGTTTTGCTTTTGTAGCCTGTGATTTTGGTTTTATATTTTTAAAAATTGCCAAAACCAACATCAAGAATCTTTTTCCCCAATATTTCTCTCTAGAAATTTTTTTTTTTCATTAATCAGTATTTTTTATTATGGTTTTGTGGGGTACAGTTGAGGGTTAGGTGTACAATGACGTTTCATTCAGGCACCCTGTAGATAAGAAGT